TTAAAATACAATTTCAATAAGCGTGCTAATTCTTCATGACATCCCTTTTCTGTGAGACCCTAATGGCAACAGAACCCACCACAATGCCCAGCTATTTTTAGAGATGGGGTCTCTCTCTGGCTCGGACTGGTCTGTAACCTCTAAGCTCAGGCAATCTACCCACATCAGCCTCCCAGAGTGCTGGAATTACAGGCTTGAGCCACTGTGCCTGGCCCAATCATTCGTTTATTAACATTTCTTCTCTGCTTTAAACAGATAAGTTTAGATTTTCTCACCAATAGCCAAGTTTTTCCTTGCCTCTGTATAATGGTGAATTTTAGGATATGTGTTTTTGTTAATATTAAGCATTATTAAATATTAACAGAAATTTTTAAGGCAATATTTTTTCATCCATTTCAATGAATTTTTGGAAAAATCAGCTGAGATAATGAGCAGAAAGAAAAACTTTTAGGAAACCATAGAATACATAAAAATTATTATCCTTATTGTTTTGTTAAGGTTGGAGAAAGGCTGATGATCCTTAATTGTACAAATGGCAATTTGTACAAATGGAAGTCTGGCCAAGGAGGGCTGGAAAGGAAAGGAACTAAGAACTTAAATTCAAAAGAGATAGCTCAGAAAGAATAAAGAGAAAAGTAACAAGAACAAGATTGTATAACATGTCTCTCAATTTTATCTCATTTGGTCATACCTGATTCCCCTCCTACATGAGGAAAATGAGGGTCCTTTCAGCCTCTGAGCTTTAGGTCATCCAAGCAGGGTTGGCAATTTAGCAATGAAGGGCCTAAGCCTCACCCACAGGTGGGCTGATATGTGGAGTCAGTGTGCCATGGCAATATCTGGGGGACCTACTTTCAAGGCCTGAGCCCCATAGGCCTAAAGCAATATAGCCTCCTTCTGCTTCCACCATACTATCCAGCTATAAAACTGAGGTTCTACTGACATTTCCTGACTCCCATCTCCCTGCTGGGGCTAGAGACCTGAAAATCAGTGAACTAACTTTCCTTTGGTGGTCTAACCTGTCTCTTGGCTTCTAAGACAAGCAAATGAGACATCTTGAACCTATAAGATGGCCATTTATCAGATTTTCAATCTTGCTACCAGCTACAAATTCCTAATATGCCCTCCTATTTATCAGGGGGTCCCTTTGGGCAAGGATTACTGACTACATCAGTTTTAAATTATTTGCTTTTGGCCTTTTAGAAGTTGCATGATGACCAACTGCTAACTCCTTTGGGTCCAGGCCAACATTGCCCTTCTTACTCTACTCCTTGACCAGGCTAATGCAATTTTAATGTTCCTTATAGCTAAGCCCATCTAAGCTAGTGTGGATCCTACAAAGGTTTGCCATGAAATGAAAAGTTACCACACTGAAAACATCACCTGCTGCAAAGACTCAAGAGAATCACAATTAATCAAGACATAACTTTACTGAAGAGTCACAGGTAAAAACAGAAGTTTATATAGCAGAAGTGTGTTGCTTTCATAAATTGCATTGAAAATTCCACCTTGGTCTTTTCAATCACTCATTCTAAGGGAATACAGATGTCATGTAGTGAGAACACTCACTAGGGACATGAGATACCCATTTCACTAGGGTTTTTTTTTTTTTTTTTATTTTGAGACAGAGCCTCAAGCTGTCCCCCTGGGTAGAGTGCCGTGGCATTACAGCTCACAGCAACCTCCAACTCCTGGGCTCAAGCGAGTCTCCTGCCTCTGCCTCCCAAGTAGCTAGGACCACAGGCGCCTGCCACAACGCCCGGCTATTTTTTGGTTGCAGCCGTCATTGTTGTTTGGCGGGTCCGGGCTGGGGATTCGAACCCGCCACCTTAGGTGTACGTGGCTGGCGCCTTAGCCGGTTGAGCTATAGGCGCCGAGCCATTCACTAGGGTTTTATAAGAATTAATTGAGATAATTTTGTCAAGGATCAGCAATAGAGACTGATATATAATAGGTACTCAAAAATACAATATACCATTGATTCTAAAATGCACATTTATTTTCACAATTTAACATCTTTCATCTCTTAAATTGTAGTGAATCTTTTATTGTGTCACAGTTTAATGACAGTTTTCTTTTTTCTTAACAGGACATAAAATAATAGTACATCTTACAGTCAATAGCGTTTTAAGTTTGAAGAGATGCAAGAATCTCTTGTCTCTTTCTCTTACCACAGTATCCAAGAAGATATTTAATTCTCTTCCCAATCTGACAAGCAACACTGCAAAAATAAAAGCAACACTAAAATGGATGGTGCCTTACAACCATTTAGAACAATTGAGAACAATTTTTTCTCAATTTCACTTGAGTAGTCCACATTTAGGGCTGTGAAAAGAACAACTGAGATTTTTGTGAAATAACAAGATCTTTAAAGAGGGCTCTTTTTTGCCTTTTTCACAGGCAGGTCTTGTTAAAAATTAATTGTGAACTCTATATATCAGTCATGGTTCTCCAGAGAAACAGAACTAAGAGATTTTATGTGGGAGGAGGAGAGGGGAATGAAGGCAGGCAGGGAGAAAGAGAAGGAGAAAGGGAAATGTGGAGAGAAAGAGAGATTTATTATTAGTAATTGGCTCCCACTCTTGCACAGGATGAAAAGCACCTTGATCTGTCATTCACCAATTACAGACCCAGGAAAACCCTTGTATTTCCAGTCTGAGTTAAAAGGCCTGAAAACCAGAAGAGTTGATAGTGTAACTCCTAGTCTGAGGCCCCAGGGCCAGAAAAGATGAGCTGTCCCACTTAGAGCAGGCAGGCAGGAGGAAAAGGTGGGAGAAGTCTTCCTCCCTCCCCTTTTGTTCTATTCAGGCCCTCTCCACCTACATTGGAGAGGGCAATCTACTTTACCTTCCACTAATTCAAATGCTAATCTCATCCCCAAACACCTTCATAGACAGACTCAGAAATAATGTTAATCCAGGCATCCTGTGGCCAGTCGAGTTGACACATAAAATTAACCATTATATGCTAGATAATATAACTCTATGAAAGGAAATATGTTCTCATTATTTGAAACATTCCACTTATACCATACTGGTTGGTTCTGCCAAATCATCAAGCATTTCTGAGGTTAAGTTGCACTGGTTCAAGTCCTGGTTTTAACAATAGTTCACAAGAACAGCTATGAATGAATGTTCACAAGCACACCTAAGTCATCTGTTCCCTTCCTACTTTTCTCTTGGACACTCCATCAGTTGAATTCTTACCTAAGAGCTACTGTTGGGAAAAAAGAAGACATACTCTGTAAAATAATTTAAGAAGGTTTATTATCCTGAGCTAAATTTGAGAACCATAACCTAGAGCTTCACCCAAGAAGCCTTGAGCAAGTGGACTCAAGGTGGTAGGGTTACAGTTTAGTTTCATACATTTTAGGGAGACAGGGATTACAGGTGAAGTTATATAAATCAATAGGTATAAAATATACATTGGTTGGCCCCAAGAAGACAATTGGCTGAAAGAATTAGGCTCTATCAGAAAGACTAGGAGTCAGAAAAGGAATGCTTAAGATAAAGGGTCTGTTAATTAGAGACAAAGGGGTTTGTTATGTAGAGTGAGGACCCAAAGGTAGAGAAGGTAGGTCTTGTAGCCTTAGGTCTGTTAATGAGTCACAGAGGACATCTCTAAGAAGGGGAGGGAGCAAGATGAGGCTTGTCTGATCGCCTTCCTAAAGGCCAGGAACTCAATTTTAGGGATCCTCTTAGCTGAAAGGAAGTCCAGTCAGTCAGTCGCTGAGAAGGGGAGCCTTAAGATCTTATTTTAATTCACACTACCTGAGGAAATAACACATTATAGTGAGAGAGGGTACTCAGAAAAAATAAAGTCTAAAAATATAAAGAAGTTCTCGCAGACGCCCCAAGGACACACCTACAAAGTCCTCCCCATAGCCACTCAGCTTTTAAAAATTTGTAGAAACTTAACTTCCTGGGACCTTGAAACTAATGCTTGCTTCCACTTCTGTAAAAGCTCATGCTTCTGTAAGACCCCAAGCCCACCTTCTCCAGTTCAATTAAACTGACCAATAAGAAGGGTATCTGTTGACAAGGAACCCTTGGCTGGAGATAAAAGGGAAAAGACAGAGCCATTTCAGGAGCTTGGCCATTTTTGGACTTTGGTCCACTGTGGCTCTGCTAGCTGAAATAAAGCCCTGCCTCTTTTAAACACAGATTTTCAGGTATTTCTCTCTCTTCATCGGGGCTTGTTTTCCTGCAAAAATAGGATTTCAAAACTGGACTGAAACATTTCCTGATAACCTCCAATCCAAAATCAATTTTCCCTTAACTGTGTTTCCATTATATTTCTTTCTTTCTTTTTTTTTTTTTTAGAACGACTCGGCAAAATAAAATTCCAGTTTAGTGTGGGACAACATTGTTTCACATATACATCAAACAGGCCAAAAAAATAATAATAATAAACAGCAACTTCATAGACAAAAAAAAAAGAAAAAAGAAAAAAAGAAACCTTTTACCTTTGGCCTTTTTACCATCTCATACAAATCAACTACTTATAGTACAGCTAAGTACATACACAAAAAAAGTTACTGGAATGCTTGGAATAAGATTGTTTTTGTTGTTGTTTTTGCTTTTTTTACAAGGTTTTTTTTTTCTCCTTTCAGATTATAATGAACATGGTCACACCAGAAGTAAAGTCAGAGTCAGAAGTAGGACAGAGACCACTCTGAAGGCTGGTTTGGTCATCCCAGATCATTAAGAATGGCTGACCCCTAACAATATGTACAAAAATATAAAATGTAAATAAAAAATACAAACAAATTTCCTTTTTAAAGTACTTTTAAGAAAAAAAAAGCAGGGCTTTGGAAGTTTTGGTTCTTTTTTCCTCCCCTGTTGCAAATTCTCGTGATTTTGGTTGGGTAGTGAAGAGCGCAGGTCATCTGGGGGTAGCACTGCCTGCGGTGGCGGGCGGGCAGGCCTCTCTACTGAAGGTGACCACATTTAGATTCTGAGACGGGAAGTGGAGGGTGAATAGGTCACAGTGGCCTTTTGTTTTAAGTTTAACTTTTCCTTTTTTGCTGTCTAGTCATCCTCCTCAGTCTTCTGCTTCTTGGTATCCACATCATCATCCTCATCATCTTCAGCTGCCTGTTTGCCCATCGTGGCCTCAGCTTCCTCATCTTCGTCTCCATCTTCTTCTTTGCATCGCCTTCTTCCTCCACCTCCTCTTTCCTCCCCACCTTCTTCCTCTTCTTCATCTACCTTATTGTCAGCCTCCTGCTCCCCATTTTCCTCATTAGCGTTCCCATTAGCAAGGGCGTCTCTTCTATTCTCTGCCTCCTCCACAGCTTCCTTCATCTCCTTTAAGTCCTTGGTGGTGATCTCAGAGCTGGTGTCCACCGCTGCGTCTGACATGGTGGGGCACATCAGTGATCCTATGCAGAGGATGGAAGAGAAAGCAAGAGTTCGGGGACTCTGGCTATAAGCTGCTGGAATCCGCAGCAGAGGAGGAGTAGCACGGCGGAGTAGCGCTGCGGGGGTGGTTGCGACGAGGAGGAAACCAGACCCAGGAACGATGCAAAGACGGCTTTTCAGAGCTGCCAGTCTATATTTCTTATTTGCCATAATTATATCAGAGTGGCTTCATTATTATGAAGGAGTGGCTCGTTCACTCCTCCTCATTTGCTGTCAAAGTCCTAAAGGGGTAGACCATATCATTTGTACATCTGTATCTTCACAGCACCACATAAAGTATCTTAAATACATTAGTTTTGCTATTTTAGCTGAAATGTATTAAATTGAAATGTACAGTGCTGTGGGCCTTTGTTAGTATTGTTACTGCATGAATAACATGACAGAGCATGATTAATCACAAATGAAGGTGTGTTCTAAGAAACCGGACCTTCCCTGAAACCTGATTAGTGAATGACATGAGAAAGCATGAATAATATGAATGACATGAGACACATGAATATGACATGAATAACATGAATGACACGAGAGACATGAATATGACATAAATAACATGAATGACATGAGAGACATGAATAACATGAGAGAGCATGATTAATCACAAATGAATGTGCATTCTAAGAAACTAGACCTTCCCTGAAACCTGATTAGTCTTGGCACATCACCATTCCCAGAAAATAACAGATTCTCAACAAATGTTCACTGAATCTTTACTCTGCCTTGCTTCCCACTATCATTTGGGATTTTTCTATATTGCCCCCAGGTTCTTACATCATTTCCCCTATTTATTCAGGCAAGAAACAACAGACTTTCAATCTCCCAGTCATAATCACTGCTATGCCTATTGGAAGCTCAACATCTGCCTCTACCCTTTCCCTCTTCACTACAGACTCTACAACTTCAGGTAGTCACAGCTCCTTAGTTTTGCTAAGAATCTTGACCAATTATATATAACATATGTTTAAGACACTGTAATAACTAGGGAAAAAATGGAACACTAAACCAAAAACATTAATTTAAAAAAAGTATCTATGGTAGAGGGAGAGAATAGAGAAGGTGAGATAAAGGTTACACTATCTATATCTTACTTGGAGGACACATACATATATCAAGTAATTATAAATCAAAATTGCATTCAAAAATTAAAACAAGAACACAATTTTAAAAAATGAACTACACAAATTATTTCCAGTGACTATATAATACAATGATTTGATTGTATAATCTTAATAGGATAGAGCCTAAAGACAAAAAAGAACTATACACCTAGTCAAACTTGTTTTTAGTAAACATATTTTTGGTATGTGCTGAGACTGATATTTTGGGCATCATCTTTTGTAGGACAAAGCAAATGAGTAATTACTTTGGTAGATTTGGGAACTACCCAATTCCATTATGGAAAAAAGAGACATAAGATTGACATAAGATTGGTAATGTTAGATAAAAAACCTGTAATCCTGAGTTTGAACCAGTAATATCAGTAAGAATTCATCATTCATTTTATTTTCTAAAAGTTCCTAGCTCTGTCTACTGAAAAAGCCTAGAAATTTGATTATTCTTTCAAAACATCATTTACACTAAAACACACACACACACACACAAGATATCTTAAAGAAATAGCTTATTCCAAATCTGGATAGAAAGTGTGCCTGATGGCAGAGAGGAGCAAGATAGCAGCTGAGTAACAGCTTCCTTGCTTCCTCGCAACTGGGCATGGTGAGACTGGGGAGAGAAGACTCCAGACTTCTCTGACTGGTGGGTTCTTCCCAGAAAGATCCCTCTGGGGACACAGGGAGTCAGCAAGGGACTTCTGGACCACATGAGGAGGACAAAAGCAAGTGGAGAACTGGCAACTGGTTGCATGTGTTCATTCAGTCTAATCCTGCTGGCACCTGTAAATACAGCAGCAGTGAGATTGCAAACTGGAAAGACCTTACCTGTGAGATATTTTTTTTTTTTTTTGAACTTGGCACTCCTCAGTTGAACTATCTTGGGAGAACTGGGGCGAGAGTGCGGAGGACTTTAAGCATTGTCTAGGGCCCTGGACTGCACCACTGAGCTGGACTGAGCTAATAGTGTTCGGCTGTGGGCCACACCTAGCCATTGTGGGAGAACTGCCCTGGTAAGCTCCGCCCTCAGGGACACAGAGCGAGGATTGGGCAGGAGACCTTAGGTGAGTAATCTAGTGACTGAGCAGCCTAAAGGTGGTGACTGAGACGCCTTACAGCCTTGGTCCTCAGGAGCATAGAGTGAGACCAGTTTTGGTAAGTGGGCAGCTACTTCAGGAGTGATCCCAGTGACAAGTGCTTTCCTGGGAAAGCTTCTGCTTAGCCAAGGTTAACAGTTTAAAGAACCTTTTTGTGGGCTGAGGAGAGATTTAGGCTCATCATTCTGCAGGGTTTGAAAAATCAGCAGAGGCCTCCAGTCGCCATCTTGTATAGCTGTATCAGCATTGTGATTAACATCTCATACCCCAGAAGATCACCTGTTTTTCTTTCATCATTTTTTTTTGTTTAAATATAATTTTCCATTGTTGCCTTCTTTAACAAACATAACTTCATTTTTGCTAGTATTTCTACCCCTATTGTTTGGTTTTTCCCCCAATTTTATCCCATAAAGTTTTCTGTTTGCTTGTTTTGGTTTGATTTATGGCATTTTTGTCTTTCCTCTCTACTTGGTGGAGGTGGGGTACTATGTCTGAACAGGCTGACAAAGAGCTGCTGACATCAAGGGAACCACACAAGTTGGAATCCCCAGAGGTTGGGGATTTTTAAGTTTGAGTCAAAGTACCCTACTATACACCTATATTGCTCCTGTCTCCCCCTCTCCTTTCTCTTTTTTCTTTTCTTTCCTTCTTTCTTTTTTTTTAATTTTTTTTCCCTTCTTGCTCTTCAATCTTCTCATCCTTCTGATTCTGTACCAAAAGGACTCATTGAAGCCCTACACCAGAGGCACAGTAACTTAAAGAGCAAAAGGAATTGAAAGGAAAAGTAGGGGAAAGAAACAGATAAAGGAAAACACTCATGAGGAAGAATCAGCAGAAAAATTCTGGCAACACGAAAAACCAGTCCAGAGCAA